GCCACCGCTGCAGTCTCCTCCCCAGAATTCTCCCTCCTCCCAAAATTCAGCACCGGAACCACCCAGGGCCGTTTCTTCTCCGAGAAATTCCTCAAGATCCCAGAAATGCCCTTCTTCCTATTCTTTCTCACATAAATGCCCCCAAACGGCGCCGAGAAAGGCACCCTCCCTTCTTGCCCTGGGTTCACCTCGAAGGGACCCGACATCGCCCCACGCTCAAACGGACCCGACATAAAAAACCCGCTCCGCTCCATCTGGTCACGACCCGCTCCCCCACCGCCACGTGGCAGCGGCTGCAGCGGCAAGGCGCAAAACGACGAGGAACTCTCGAACCCATTGCCGTTAACGATACTGCTCTTGACGCCGTAACCGAGAGTATCCTCAGTGGCATCGTCGTAAATATTGCCAAGTTGGAGGACAGTTCTGGGTGTAGACGTATTGGCACTGACGGAGGCACCCGAAATAGTCTTGAAAGCGGTTTCCGGTCCAGCCCGAGCCTTCAGGTCGTGAGAAGGAGAGAAGCGGAGGGAGTGAGAAGGCGAAAGGAAGCGATCAGAAGGCGTCGGCGAGAGAAAGCGGTTGGAGGATCGGACGTAGCAGAAGGAATGACCAAGGGTGTCATCCAACGGCTCCGACGCCGGAAAGATCAGGTCCCGCTGATGCGCCGGTAGCAAAGCACCGGCACGGTTAGTCTGTTCAGAAGGCGGTTTGAAGCAGGGGACGAAGGTGGAGAGTCCACTTCCCATCACATTTGATTCATAAATTCATCCCACTCGCCCCCTGTTTGAATGCCCAGAAAATCTGAAAGAGAAAAAAAAAAAAACAAATTTTCTCTCCTCCCACAAATGGAAAACGAAAAACAAAAACAAAAAACAAAACTGCTACTCCTAACTGCGACTCCTCGCAGAGAAAGAGAGAAACGAAGTAAACACAGAGTTTCTATTTCTTTTTTAGTAATAATAAAAAAATTGGAGCTGGATGGACTTCTGGTTTTTATTGAGAAAATTAAAAATATATAAAATTCGAAATGAAAAAC